TCTGTCAGGCCAGTAAGTCTGGTCTTTTTTTGTGAGTTAGAACTAGGCTGTAATCTTTATATCACCATGACTTCCTCTCCATATGAAAAATCTATGTTTGCATTTTTTAAGTCCCTCTTTTTTGTTTTAATGTTGTTATAGTTTGCATATTGACATCTGTTTCCCTATTTTCAGTGTTTTAGCTTTGATTTATTTTTGTGACTTCTGTATCTGGGTTGATATCTGGTTGCTCTGTCCTGTGTTCTAGTCTTAGGTTGTTATCTGATGTTAATGATTTTCTAACCGGAGGACTCCCTTTAGTATTTGTTGTGATTTTGGTTTGGTTTTTGCAAATCCCCTAAACTTCTATTTATCTGGAAATGCCCTAATTTCGCCATCATATTTGAGAGACAGTTTGGCTGGGTATATAATTCTTGGCTGGCATTCTTTTTCCTTCAAGGCTTTATATACGTCACCCATTGCCTTCTTGCCTGCATGGTCTCTGCTGAATAGTCCGAGCTTAGTCTTACCCACTCTCCTTTGTAGATGATTTTTCGTTTATCCCTAGCCACTCTTAAAATTCTGTCTTTATCTTTGGTTTTGGCAAGTTTCAAATGCCATTTGAAAAGTAGAAATGGGCTAGTTCATGTCCTTTGCCTGAAAACCTCCTGGACCCTCAAAGCCGTCTGGGGCCTTTATCCATGGAAGGGCTGCATGGCCTCCTGGCCTTGGGCCCTTGCAGAGAACCTCGTAGCACAGTTGCAGCCAACGCTGATGTAGCTGGTTTGATCATCTCCCCCTACAATGAAATTTAGTGTTTTTTTTAGTTATTTTGGTCAAGAAATTAAGAATTGAGCTGATTTAAGTTTATTTTTCAGTGGCTTTTATATCTCTAACCTTACTAAACATCATCCTGAGTTATTTAAAAATGTAATTTCAATCCCTTGTCTTGAAATTTCACACCAGTAGATTCCTGACTCTGGGCCGACCCTAGGGTGTTGAACAATTCCTCTTAGGAACC